GAGAGAGAGAGAGAGAGAGAGAGAGAGAGAGAGAGAGAGAGATGTGAGATGTGTGGCTGCAAATCCCCCAGAGCTCGGTTCATAAACGGGAAGGAACAGAACTCCACCATATCCACGGCTAACTGTCCCCTGCGGTGCTGGAGCAAAAGAGCCACCCTGTGCAGCATCTGTCGCATCCTGAGTCCTGAAAGATGATGGATGGTTCAGTGTTAGAAAAATGCTTGGTGCATTCAGATAAGCCGATTAAACTCTTAAGATTGCAGGACAATGGTGACTATGGTTATTTAGTAATATATTAATATCATTATGGTAGGGATGAAGGGATGATTAAAGTTTCACTCTGGTGGGGGAAGCACAATATATTTACGTTTGGAAAATGCAAGTATAATAGAATGTTTACTGTATACATTATACAAGCTACACAGTACAATATGTGACTGTGCACAGTGTATAATAGTAGCTATTTATATCCTATGGCGAGTACATATGCAGTATTTGCTTTCCATGGTCAAGTAGCCTCTGCTTATCAGACAGGGTTGTGTGGCACACTGGATGACTCTGTAGGTGTCACACCATGGGGAGGTGATTATTTCCTGCAGAGCCTAGAGCTAGGAAATAGACTTGTGCACACAACTTCCACAGTATCTTCCTTCCTGTTTGGAAATTGGACATTCCGGACATTCTCCATTCTGAAAGGTGAAAATCGGTTGGTCTTAATCAATGTGGTTCTTTACAAACTGGCTGCAATCCAGAAGTTATCAGTAAGCAGCTGCTTTATGGGGAATGTGAGAAGGGTCACGGTCTTATCCTAAGTCATGATCAGATGACCAGGTTGGCCCGCAGTGCCTATTTTAATCCGTAAAACTGAAATGTTCTATATTTGCAAAACAACAGTTGGGATCAACTCTGCTAACATGTGGACAATTTAAAAAACAAAACAAAAAGATTCTGAATGTAATATATGGGCAACATAAGATTAAAAAGTCCAAATGTTAAAACAGTAGTAAACGGGAGGGGAAGTCCCCTCTCACCAAATCTTCAGCACCTTCTGCAAGACGAGCGCTGAGAGATTTACGCTTGGTCTTCACTGCGACCAATTTCATACCAAAACGAATGAATTTCCTCCTTACAACACATACAGTGACAGGATGCCATACTCAGACTCTTTTTCTGGCTGACAAATGACATGGGAGTAGGTTGGAAGGAAGAGGTTTTCTTGAGGGAGAAAGAGCAACGTTGGGAAGGCTGAGGTCAAGGAGAACATGAATTGAAGGGGTGCGGATGGGGTGGAGCGGGGGAGGGGAGGGGAGGCTCCCTGTGACGATGGAGCAGAATAAGACAGGACTGTTTTGACAGAAAGGAGGCGGTTGATACTGTTCCATGTTCTGGCCACGAAACGACAGCAGGGCCTGACCAGCTCTGTGGGTTTCCTGAGGTCAAGAGGGCATGTGAGATACCAGGGCCCTGTCGTCTGTGTCCCAGTCAGGTGCTTGGA